TTTTTTTACAAAGATATAAGCGAATTTATCATTTCATGTAGATAAAGGGAGGTAATTAGAAATTTATTTTCTAAAAAGTCTAATTCAAATTTTTCAATAAGAAATGAATGCATATATTTTAATGATTACATACGATAATGTGCCCAAATATTTGCAGTACATATTTTACATATTTTTCGATGTTTGAAGCATAATTATATACATATATAAAATTTTACATAAGTCTGGTAACAACCTCAATTACAACATACAGGCTCTTAAAATGATATCTTTTTTCACACACCACCATTTTTTGACATTTTGACAGAACATAACTACTGGAGTACAATGATTTTTTGGATTGAGTTTTACTCAAAAATGATAAAATTGTTGATGAATTACTTATGTTAATTTGATATTATTTTTTTCTTATCTCTTTTTCGATATGGATTTTTTTTTGTATGATTTTTTTCTAATCTTTTTTTCGATATGGATTTTTCCTGGCTCGTAAAAAACACAGACACTTGGGGTTTGGAGCTTAAAACGTCTTTAAAATCCAAATAAAATATATATTTGTCAATCCCAGCACATGTACTGAATAATCAATCATATATATCACAAAAACTTAATATAAACCGTTTTGGAAAAAAAATCATATTTCAACATCTATAATAATACACAAGATAGAAATGTTCGCCGCAAAAAAAATCGCACACCTACCGTCCATATCACCATGTATTTTATTCCATTTCAAATATTTTCACATAATCCTTTGGTCCATCGACACAGAAGATATAATTCTTCACGATGATGGTCAATTTTAAACTTCAACGGTAATATAAACAACGCAACAGCCGAAATAAACATCAATATTATCACCGTTTTACTCCATTTACAAAATCTTTCGATGAATTCAAACGTGGCCCCAGCTTTGCCGTGTACAAATACACTCCGCTACTAAGTTTGGGAACCAACACATAATCGGATGGCTTCGTCCATAGTCGACTGGTTCCTTCAAAGCACACGGCAAAGCTGGGACCACGTTTGAATGTGCTGGGATTGACAAATATATATTTTATTTGGATTTTAAAGACGTTTTAAGTTCCAAACCCCAAGTGTCTGTGGTAAAAAAACTCGTCATAGTCGGAATACTATACTCATCCAATATAGCTATTTTGGACTCTGAAAATGAAAACGATGCCAGACGGAATGCAATATTGATTTGATATGGACTTCTTTCGGACTAAGCAAATGAAAGTCATGCTAGGGGGGATACAATAGTGATATTGTTATTCCTGGAGTCATAGATCTTTTTTACTCGAAACAATAACGTTTTTATATGCAATATTTGGACTGGCAAAATGAAAACTAGAAATTAGACCAAATAATTTTTATTTGGAAATTGGTACAATTTTTTTGTGGCTAAATAAATCTATTTATTATCTATTTTTCAAATTTACTTTTCAACGTAGACTGTGTGATAGTTTTGCCATACAACTGTACGCCAATGCACTGCCAATCAATATGTAATATGATATACAAGTACAACATTACATTTTAAAGTTTACTTTGCCAAATTATAACTTGTTCGACCCTTCGCACTTCGGTTGATAAAAAAACACACTAGTATAACAGATTGACGAGTATCGATTAAAAATTTTATTCATAAGAATTTAATATTTTAAATTGACGCTTATATAATTGAAAGGTCGAAATATTATAAAAGAGCGGACTATAAGTTACATGTTGGAATTATTCATTAATGTATTTTAAGCCCTTTATAATGTAAGGAAACCGCGTTACTCGGTATGATAGCAATGTAGGTCATCTAAACGGGGATAGCATGTGTCAAAAGTTTAATTGCTTACTTTCAGCTAAATATAATTCAGCAAAACTTTAAAGTCATTCAAAACTTTGCCCCCCCCCCCCTCACCGATTATATTTTTGTTTCCTAATTTTCCAACATACATAGCATACATCTTAACGAAATTTAATGATTAACATTATTTTTTGTCCCATCACATTGCAGTATTTTTCAAATGTCTGCTAACTATGGATAATATGTACTAACTAAATAAAATTAACTTAATCAGTCGTCAAACCAGTCTAATTTAAATAATGCATTATACCAGGGAGGGGTTAGAGGTGTGGTTTGCAATCTGAACTCAACACTTTGGCTTCAAAACAATGCAAACGTAAAATAATAATTAGGTGAGGTAAGGTGTTTCTAAATGTGAGGATACAATCAAATTTATTACATAGATAATACACGTGGGGCACGCAGAGACAAATGCTTATAACAGTACTTTTTTGATATCCTTTTAACTTTAAGAAAAATGTCTGTTATAAATTGCTGACTGTTTTTAACTTTGCATTCTCTAGAAAAAGTAAGCGAAACATTAAATTCTTTCATTTGACAGGAATGAACTCCAAGATAAGAATTAAGAATACAATGATTTCGTTTTTTTGTTTGTTATTTATTAGTCTTGATCAGCAACCGAATGTGTTTATTGATATCTAATGATGGACTAATAAAATATATTTGTTTATTTAGTAAGCATGGTGCTCTTTTCGACTGTAATATTTCACATTTCTACATTCCTATTGTTCTTATCATGCGTTTTAATTTCCAAATTACTGCGTTACTACATAAACACGGCGATTACGTATAGGTTAATGTTTAATAATACGTATATTAACAATAATAATTTGTCAATATTTTAAACCTCATTAAAAGTCTTCGAAGGAAAGTGTTTATTTCTTAAGATCATTCATAAGAATAACAACATTGTTGGCGTATTACAGGCGACGATATAGTCAGGTATAGTCATTCTCACGAATGATCTTAAATAGAAAATATATTCTTGGAAATATTTGTAATGCAGATAGTGTAAAAAAGTAATTCTTGAAAAAAAGTATATAGTGTATATATAATATATAGACAAGGGGTTGAACTCGCCAGATCGGCCGAATGTCATTAGTCCAGTATAAGTCAAAATTGCAGTCATTTTTACGTAAATCATATAAAGCTATATATCAAATTGCAGCTAAATGACATCACTAGACGTTGACAATAACATAATTGTCCCTACTTATACCGTTTTTGAACAAAACAAACTGATATTTCGGATATAATATCGTATTTTTGCTCGGTCGGACACAAAAGATTGTGCCATAAATGAAATCGATTAACAGAATCAAAGGCACTCCTATAGTCAACAAATGCACAGGAAATTTTTTATAACAACCTAAATAATAATCAATTAGCATCTTTAAAGAAAATATATGATCAGTGGTATCATATTGTGATATGAACCCAGCTTGTTCTTCGTTAAGTAAATTGTGACATCAGTCCATTATATACAATTTTAGGCGTATCCGCCATCTTGACATAAACATGTGATAAGATAATCATCACGTGATTTGTGTGATGACAGTGGCGGAACCGGTGCGCGGGGTTTGCGTGTACATATGGTCAGTGATGCATAATCATAGAAGGAATGAGATAAGCTCTTAATGTTCTGAAAATAAGAATGAAAGGCCCATTATCCCTCAGAAATGCTTTTAGTTTTAATTCTCAGAAGTTTTTTATGTCTTGTTATAGTTTCAAAAATGTTGCATATTAACCAATTAACTGAACATTTTTTTTCTTTTTTTGCTTTTGGCAGTCAGTACATGTACATATATATATGAAGAGAGTGGCAATATGCATGTAGACAGTGGCAATGTGCATGTAGATAGTGGCAATTTTCATGTAGTGTTTGACAATATGCATGTAGACAGTGGCAATGCGCATGTAGAGAGTGGCAATGTGCATGAAGACAGTAGCAATTTGCATGTAGATAGTGGTAAGGTACATGTAGAAAGTGGCATTTTGCATGTAGAGTGTGGGAATATTCATGAAGAGAGTGGCAATTTGCATGTAGTGAGTGGCAATGTGCATGTAGTGAGTGGCAATGTGCATGTAGAGAGTGGCAATGTACATGTAGAGAGTAGCAATGGGGATTTTTTAATATGTTTAGAATGCTAGTATTATGTATTGTATCACCTGTAATAAAGAATGAAATAACTCAGTAGAACAATAACCCACTAGTGTCATAGTTTTATTATAGCCGGACATTAAGCCCACTGATAGATTTTGCACGTTTGCTGATCAAAAAGTGGTTCAAAAATGTGTAGAGCTTAATCTCTACGTCTCTTTACTGTGATAGAATCTATGCACAGTTTTGATTATAACGAAAAAATATAACAATGAGGTTTATCTTTTTTTCTTTATAAAAAATATTTTAATTTAAATCTATATATTAAATGAGTTATTGTACAATTTGGCTATTGTCCTAGTATAGGATAATGTCTAGTGGGATATATATCCTATTGGATTATCATCCTGGTGGGCTGTTGTCCCATTGGGATAATGTCCATTCGGCTTTATCCCGTTGGGTTATTGTCCTAGAGGGTTATGTCATTGTGCGCTAATTTCCTTAGTGGAATAAAGTCTAGTGGTTTATGTTCTAGTGGGCTATCACCCTAGTGGGCTATTAGCCTAGTGGAATAAAGTCTAGTTGGCTATTGTCCTAGTGGAATAATGTTCTAGTGGGCTATCACCCTAGTGGACTACTGTCACAGTAGATACATTTGTAATGCCTTTTGGGTAATGTCGGTTATGTCCGAGTAGGATAATGTCTAGTGAATATGTCCTATTGGGTTACTGTCACAGTAGATAGTGTCTAGTATGCTATGTCCTTTTCGGCTACTGTTCTAATAGGATAATGTCTAGTGTTTTTTCTCCTGGTAGGATAATGTCTAGTGGGATATGTCCTATTGGGCTTGTGTCCTAATGGAATAATGTCTAGTCAATGTCCTATTGGGTTATCAATCATTGTGGCCTATTTATAAATGTCCTAGTTGGGTCAAGTCTAATGGTCTATGTCCTATTGGGCTATTGCCCGACCCTCGATAAGATATGATGACATATACTTTTTTACATATCTTACGGCAAATACAATTAACCACACACACAATAGAATTTTCTAGTTTATTAGACTTATTATAAATCAATTAGATCTTGATATAGAATCTATTCAAAATAATAGAAAATATAAACTCGTGAAGTAGCGTGTTTAAAACAAACTTCACACATGTTCGTACACATGTATTTTCCCGAGTGTATATAGCAAATAATGTTAAATCATAATTGTTCATGACTTGTTTGAGAACGGCTGAAACTTGAGTGTACCATCTTCAAGATCAATAGACTCTACGTCACTGTTTTCCCCTTCCACTACACTGTCTTCAGTTACTTCATTTTGTTCAACAGCTTCAACTGTGACGTCACTTTCCCCGCCAATTTCGATATCATCATGTGGTATTGTGAAGCAAGCAATCTTGATCGATATTTTTTTCACACTCACCTGAAATAAAAACACTCAACTTTAAAGCTAGTAGATCTAGATACGGTGGCATTTTGTGATCTGCGTGGGTCAGAAAAAAACTATACTTAAATGTGAAGATTAACCTTTCTTATTAGAGTTATTTCATCATTTTTAATGCTCGCTCTAGACAATAATAATCTATAGATCTACTTGAATTTGTTGTTAGAGTGTGTGTGTTTTTCTTTGGAGGGGGGGGGGGGGGGCAAAACGTGAAACAGAATTTTTGGACAATCAGAAATTCACGCTGTTTCACTTAACGACAAAAATACAATATAGATCTATATGTTACTCAATTAATTAAACGAGCGGGCTCTATACGCTTTATCCTTCAAAAGAATCGATTTTTTTAAATTTATTGATGTAAATAAATACTGATCGAGCCATCTTAATTCAGTATTCAAAAAATTCAGTATTGAACTTATAAACACTTATTCAATATCCTCTAATTTAAACGTGATTAGAATATAACATGGTGACATTTACCTTAAAACTGATATAAACGCAACCGGAAGCTTTTTTCAGATCGATATTCTTCACCTGCACGCAGACGTCTTTCACCAGCGGAATTCCAGGGATTGACTTCTTACATACGGCAGGTGGGTTAGGAACTGAAAATAACGTATCAAGGTTATTTCACAGAAAAAAATAAGCTAGTTTTGTACACTTCGTTGGATGTCCCGAGCAATTGTAAATAAGAGTTATACATTAAATTAACACAATTCTATCAAATTGGCTAATGATATTAGTGATATGTCTGCCTTGTGTCGTAAAATTATAGACATAGTACGAGTGGCGGAACGTGAAGCGTTAAAGAATTTAATGACACGGGTACTATTTTGTCAAGTTTGCGACCATTTCACTGGCTTGAATACTTCAGGTCTTGCTCTTTGTAGTATCGTGTATAATAGACATTCGTACACTGACGAAGAAACATTGACCTATTGTCATAGAACTATTGTCATAGAATTCATAGACCTATTGTCATAGAATTCATAGACCTAGTGTCATAGAATTCATAGACATAGTGTCATAGAATTTATAGACCTATTGTCATAGAGTTCATAGACATAGTGTCATAGAATTTATAGACCTATTGTCATAGAATTCATAGACCTATTGTCATATAATTCATAGACCTAGTGTCATAGAATTTATAGACCTATTGTCATAGAGTTCATAGACATAGTGTCATAGAATTCATAGACCAAGTGTCATAGAATTTATAGACCTATTGTCATAGAATTCATAGACCTATTGTCATAGAATTCATAGACCTAGTGTCATAGAATTCATAGACCTAGTGTCATAGAATTCATAGACCTAGTGTCATAGAATTCATAGACCTATTGTCATAGAATTCATAGACCTATTGTCATAGAATTTATAGACCTATTGTCATAGAATTTATTGACCTATTGTCATAGAATTCATAGACCTAGTGTCATAGAATTCATAGACATATTGTCATAGAATTCATTGACCTATTGTCATAGAATTCATAGACATAGTGTCATAGAATTCATAGACCTATTGTCATAGAATTCATAGACCTAGTGTCGTACAATTCATAGACCTAGTGTCATAGAATTCATTGACCTATTTGTCATAGAATTATAGACCTATTGTCATAGAATTTCAATAGAGCTTATTGTCATATAATTCATTAGACCTAGTGTCATAGAATTCATAGACCTATTGTCATAGAATTCATAGACCTATTGTCATAGAATTCATAGACCTAGTGTCATAGAATTTATAGACCTATTGTCATAGAATTCATAGACCTATTGTCATAGAATTCATAGACCTAGTGTCATAGAATTCATAGACCTATTGTCATAGAATTCATAGACCTATTGTCATAGAATTCATAGACATAGTGTCATAGAATTCATAGACCTATTGTCATAGAATTCATAGACCTATTGTCATAGAATTCATAGACCTAGTGTCATAGAATTCATAGACCTATTGTCATAGAATTCATAGACCTATTGTCATAGAATTCATAGACCTATTGTCATAGAATTCATAGACCTAGTGTCATAGAATTCATAGACCTATTGTCATAGAATTCATAGACCTAATTGTCATAAGAATTCATAGACATAGTGTCATAGAATTCATAGACATAGTGTCCATAGAATTCATAGACATATTGCATAGAATTCATAGACATATTGGCATAGAATTCATAGCTTATTGTCATAGAATTTTATTGACCTATTGTCATAGAATTCATAGACCTAGTGTCATAGAATTCATAGACATATTGTCATAGAATTCATAGACCCTATTGTCATAGAATTCATAGACCTATTGTCATAGAAATAAACCTAGTGTCATAGAATTCATAGACCTATTGTCATAGAATTCATAGACCTATTTGTCATAGAATTCATAGACATAGTGTCATAGAATTCATAGACCTATTGTCATAGAATTTCATAGACCTATTGTCATGAGAATAACCTAGTGTCATAGAATTCATAGACCTATTGTCATAGAATTCATAGACCTATTGTCATAGAATTCATAGACATAGTGTCATAGAATTCATAGACATAATGTCATATAATTCATTAACCTATTGTCATAGAATTCATAGACCTATTGTCATAGAATTTCATAGACCTATGTCATATAATTTTTGACCTATTGTCCCGAATTCATAGAACCTTGTCATAGACCTTGTAAGAATATGTCATAGAATTCATAGACCTATTGTCATAGAATTCATAGACCTATTGTCATAGAATTGCCCAATTGTCATAAAATTTAAATTGACCAAAATTGTCAAAAATTCTTTAAGGCCTAGGGGCCATAGAAAATTTCATAGACTCTATTAACTTTTAAAAATTTTCTTTCCCAGAACCTAATTGTCATAAAATTTTTATTGAACCTAGGGGTTCCTAAATTTTCTTTGTATTTTATTGTCTTTTAAAATTTTTATAAAAACCTATTTTTCTTTTTTAAATTTTTATGGGAAAACATATTGTCAATGGGAATTCATGGGGACTAGTTAAATTAAGAATTCCATTAGCCCTATTGTCTTTAGAATTCAATAGACACTAGTGTCAATGAATTTAAAGCCCTTTTGGGTCATGGGAATTCATAACCTAGTTTTCTTTAGAATTCATAAATTTTTATTGTAAATGGGAATTTTCATTGACCATACCTGTCATAAAATTTTATAGACCATTTAAATAAAATTTAAATTAAAAAATTTTAGGGTAAGGGGAATTTTCAATTAAAAGTACCTATTTTACAAAATTTTCATTGACCTTTCCCCTTTGAATTAAAACCCATTTTTTAAAATTTTTAAACCTTTTTGTCAGCTTAAATAGACCTATTGTCATAGAATTCATTAGTATTTCATAAATGTGGGGCATATTTAAGGGGTAAAACTTGCATAAAAATTTGTTCTTTTTCAAACCGTATGTGATTTAAGCTTAATTAAGCTTTTTTAAATTTATAAATTAAAAAAATTTAAAATTTTTAAATTTAAAATTTTTTTTTTAAATTAATGAAATGGTTTAAAAATAATTTGCATTTAGATTTTGGGAAAAGAGGAATAAACGTTGGGAAAAAGGAGAAAAAAAAGAACTGTCTTTGGTCAGTCTTTATAAACCCCTTTTTTTCCCCTTTTTTTGGTTCGATTTGGGAGAGTTTTGTATCGCTTAATTTGGAGATTTTTTTTGCTAAAAATTGAAAGGTTTGGGTTGAAATCCCCGGGACTTGGAGGCCCAGTACGCTAAAAACTTGAACCCTTAAACCAAGGTTTTATCGACGGTTTGGGAGATTTATTAAAAAATATCCCGGGTTTGGGAAATTTTAAAACCCCCTTTCTCATTGTTTCTTTTTTAAAATCCTATGTCGGTAAAAGTTCAAAATTTACAAATTTAAGTATCCCGAATCTGCAAAAAAAAAGGTTTTGTCTATCTCCCCTAGGGATACAAAAAAAACAAAAGTTTATAAACATTTCCGTGGACCTTTTTCTGATCCTTTTTTTTAAGGTCACTCTATTTGAAAAGGTTTTTCCCCAAGCTGGCTATGAAGCATGCTGGAATATAAATGAAAGAAAAATAAGTAGAACTAAAAAAACTAAATATATTCATGGACTAGATGCACAACAAGTGTACTCTTGTCTTACCTTATAAAACAAGAACTTGTAACCAACGTTACCTACGTCTCCCATCTAAGGAAAGTACATGAAGCACAAAATTGTGCTATTTTCAAAATATTGAGGTATGGATCTGAAAACTTTCAGTACAAAATCTAGATCAATGCCAGACCTACACATGCCAGTAACAATTAAACCCCTTTAAAAAGAATATAAAAAAAAAACTCCATGTACAACGTAGAAATTGTGTAATTGTTATCCCCATTTAAAAGGAAACAATGCCCAAAAATAAAAAATCAATAAGGATAATAAATAATCGGGGAAGTTTTGTTGAATAATAAGTACTTCCTTAAAATGTACGCAGCCGATATAATTTACTCCCCGGGTACAAAACAACAATAAAATTTTTAATAAATTTATGCTGATATTTTTATTCATTAAAAGTGAAAATTTAAAAATTTGAAAAAAAATTTTTTTTAAACAATTATATTTCGCTCGTGGCTGGGTTTTCAATCAAATATTTTCCAAAAATTTATTATACATGTATAATTTACAGATGACAAATTCTAACTTCTTCAGTCCCAAAATCTCCCGAAAATTATTGCTTATTTTCAGTTTTTTTTGTTTGGTATGTAAATTCTATTGCACTCACCATCATGTTTCATTTCTTTTTTCAAAATTGACATTTTTCCCCTTTTCTGCAGCCACCAACCGCCTTTTGTAGCCCGGGAAATGATGTCATGGTTCCCAGAAAACGTTTTAAAATTTCAAAACCTAAATCATCGGCATCTAATTAAAACAATATTTAATGTACTTTATTCAGATTAATTTTTTGTGGTGGATTTTATGATAAAAAAATAAAAATTAAATGTTTGGGATTTTATTTTCTTTTCACAAAGAGAAGTTCCCTCACCAAAAAAGTCGAAATTAACTTGGGGATAAATAATTAATTTATAGTATTTACATGTAAATATTGTTTGAAAAACCAGTTTTT